TCCAGTGATTGAGGCTAGCTGTTTCTAACGGACCCAACAGAATAGGTGTTTCCCTTTTCCTTCACCTGAGGAAGGAAACAGATCCAGTTTCCGAAACGTCGTGTTTTTATCTTAAAAACCAGGACGATGGATAAAGTCCAGAAACCCAATATATCAGTGTGTTATACACCATCGTCAGAATCCTATAGTAACTAATTGTAATGCTCTGTTTGTTACATCTCATAGTTGCATTTAAGAACTGACGGTAATTATACATTAGAACCGTGGTAATGAGTATTCATTTATTTGATGGCAGGTTGGTCGTCCCAGCTAGTTTCAAACCTCATGCCTGTGTAGAAATTCGTTAAAATTGTTACGGAAAAGTACAGATTAATGAAGACATCATACAATTCTATAACTTGCAACAACCACATACACCGAAGTTCCATAAGTAGAAAGTGTAGCACTCAAAACGGAAGTTGATTACTGCAGGTTAGATATATGTGAACATCTTTGTTTTTACTCTCTTGCGGCTTCTAAAACGCTTTTGCTTGGAAAAGGACAGTTCCAATTCAGAGTGTCAGTGTGAGTCATGATTTTTACTTTTCCCGTTAAACTTTGTATCATTACTCTATTCGTGCCAGAGCTAACACCAAGCACTTTGTAGCGGAACCACTAATACCATAGATTCTAAAGGGTTCTGTCGATGTTGTATAACACACAGAATTACTGTGTTTTTTGGACTTTTTCCGTTGTCCAGATTCTAGAGAACAGAAAACACGACGTTTCGGAAATTGGATCGGTTTCCGTACTCAGGTAAGGGGAGAAGACACCTACTCAGTTGGGCCCTTTAGGAAAAGCTAACCTCAATCACTGGACAACACGTATCAGATTTTCACAGCTATTTAATCACTTGAGACGAGACCAATTCGGCGGGATATCACAAGAAAATATGCAATAAAAGTTGTGATACAGCACGCACAGGCGTGGAAGTAGGATAGAAAAGGAGATAGAACTTTGTGCTACAAACCTAGCCAAGAAAACCAAGTGCATGAATATCCAAGCAAAGAAATGGAAAAAAAGTGTGAAGACACGTAGTATCTACCTCTAGTGCCATCTGTGGAGAAAAACCTGAACACTCGAGACTGAAACCTTATGGAATCCCATGAAGAATCTGTCACGTCATACAGATCTTCTCTGTGGGTTAGAAACCTCATTACTGATAAGGGGGATCCAGATAGGAGAAATATGCAAACTGGACTGGCTCATTGAATTGGTTAAGCATGCCATATGGGCCGATTGTCAGCATGTTTAGTAATGTGTAACTTAGGTTTTCAGTGTTTATGGAGTTTGAATGTTGAAGTTATTAAAAAATTACGTCCACCTTCAGCCCGGTTGTGTTGGAGGGAGGATGTGGCCTGACTTAGGTTAGCCTTTTTACCGAGAGATCCATAAATTCTACCTGGCCTGTGAGAAGAGAAGAGATCCATGCTCCACCCTCTACCCCGCCCTCCCTTATTCATAATGTAATGGATTGTATCAAAGCATTGCCAGGCAACAGCTCCGAAACACGTTCCAACAAGCAACATTAGAAGAACTGCCGTTTATATGCAACGGCTGGAAAACAACTTCCCCCTAAAGTACATGAAAACAATAGGAAATCCATTGTTTTAATGAATATTACACCCGTTGCTACGCAGTCGCGTTGCAACAGACGTAGAAGAGTTTTCCTATGTGGTCCGTGCCAAAGCATTATAAGAAGTTCCAGAATAAACGAGAAGGCACTCCAGGAGACTTCAGTTGAGAGTTCAGGTCTGCACGGGAGGCCCTGAAAAGAAGCCTTTATATGTGATATTGAAGTGCGTAATTCAGTGAGACTGTTGTAATTCTTGTGTTTTAATTCCTTTACAGGAAACAGATAGTGAAGACTTTGTAAAAGCATAACTATTGTTGAGAATTGTTACCTAGCAAAGACTAGTGTAAACAGAATTTTAAGATTATATTTATATAGATTACAATTACAGTAATCCTTAGTGTAGTATAATTATTTGTAGTTACTGTAATCCAATTACCAAACCGAACCCTGTCTATAGTCACTGATACACGTGACAGTACTGTTAGAACCTATACGAGAGTAAAAGAATTGGGATGCAGTTAAAGCACGTAAGTACATGTTGCACATTAAAAATATGATTACTTTTCGACAATATTTACAATCACGATAAGTTCTTAATTGGCGACGTGTTTTGTGGCGAAAGAAATTTTTTAAGAACGCAGAGCTGAACGAGACAAATATGAGGTACTGCCGGAGAGAGCAATTAGTTCTGACTCTCCGGAAACAAAGAACAAGGAGCCCAGAAATTACATGAATGTGTTATATAATATGAAATCCATTGTTTCATTATTTAAACTATAAAATTTTGTTTTGTAGATGCCAGCAGATCAACTGATACCACTGCTTAAAAAACTTACCAGAAAATGAGGATGGTTTACGTACGATTATGTCATACTGAATTATACAGTCTCAGTTGTCACTAGTTGGGGACGTTACGGTGAAAGCGATTTCTCTTTTGGTTACAGAGTTTTCGGGACACATTATAACTTGTTAAGTACCATGTTTTCCTGGACAATAAGTTTCACGCACGCATTTTCACATTTCATAGAGCATGCAATGCTTCCTATAAGGCGTCTTTAAGAGCCCTTTTACGTGATCTACCATATACACACGAACACGAACGGTTTAATTTCTATGTCTTAATTTGTTTCGTCTAAAAGCTGTAAGTGACAGACCGTAAACGACGTCGAAGAAATGTTCTATTTTTTGTGGTTTTCATTATCATTTACACGGTTGTAATCGGAACCATAAGATTATTTTGATATGATGCGACCACACACCCGTACCGCTCTTCTTACTTCATCGAATAGAAATGAGTATAAACTTTCCAAATGTTATGGACTGAAGGGGTTTGAGAACAGGGTGTTGAGGAGAATATTTGATCCGAAGAGAGATGAAGTGCAGGAGGTTGGGGGAAACTGCATAATGAGGAGCTTCATAACTTGTACTCTTCTCCAAGTATAATTAGAACGATCAAGTCAAGGAGGACGAGGTGAGAAGGGCATGTAGCACGAATGGGGGGAAGAGGAATACATATAGGATATTGGTGGGAAAGCCAGAAGGAAAGAGATCACATGAAAGACCAAGACGTAGGTGGCCTGACAATATTAAAATGGATCTTAAAGAGATAGGATGGGATGATATAAATTTGATTGATCTGACTCGGGATAGGGAGGAGTGGAGGGCTCTTCAGAACTCGCCAATGAACCTTCGGGTTCTACAAAATGTTGGGAATAGCTGCATAATTGGCAGCTTCTCAAGAAGAGCTCAACTCCATGAGTGAGTTATTTGAGACTTTCCATATATGAATCACTATTACGCTCAAGTAATACAGAAGCAAATATATTACTGAGAGTGAAACCAAATTTAGGCACATTACAGATTTCGCACTGCATATGCCTATAGTGAATTTCATTCTTGCATTTCGTTATGTATGAAATAATGGGATTATTTCACTCGCTTCCGAAATTTGAATTTACAAATTTGTAGCGACAGGCACAAGTCACTAGGAATTGTACTCAAATGAGATTTACTTGGAGACCGCATACCAGACGGCAAATATGTGTGTATCTGTGCAATACTAATTCTTACGTTCATATGTAGGTCATTTTTTTAGAGAAAACAAAGAGTGCTCGGAAATGAAAGAAAAACATTTTTAAAATTTGGCCTTGTTAAAGTTTTATTAAATTAAGCTGTCTAACTACAGAAATAAATGAGAGGTCTTCGAACCCGCGTAAAATTTACGATCCCTGTTTCTGCTGAATATGAAGGCAGCAAGTCATAACTCAGGCGCAAGAATATAGCACTCTTATTAGAGCTTTATTTCACCCGAAGTGTCGAAGAGCACAGTCACAAGTTCGCAGCGTTTAGAGCACGTAATATGAACTAGCGGAAGAGAGCTCGTAAACAGAATATACTCGTACTACTGTCAGACCTCCTGGAAAACAAGTGACTCTTAGCCAATGCTACTTCAAGATGAACAGCTCTGAGCACAGATACGATAGATCGTTAGATCGCGGTGTAACCACGAAGGAAAGGAAGCTTTGGTGTTATACCTCCATTCCGCCATACGTCTTCATGGAGTGGTACTTTATTAAGCATGGGGGCAACTTTACCATATCACCACCAATACAGTTTAATGATATAATTTGCCCTAATTAAAGTAGCTTCGAAAATAGAATTTGTATATATTATTATTGTTTTAACATATGAGGCATATTTTAAAGCAAATTCTTTATTTTATGCCACTTTATTTAGAGGAAATTATCTCATTTTACTGTATTGCTGGCGATACGTAAAGTTATCCCTACACTTAATAAAGTATCTCCCCATAAAAACGTGCCATGGAATTGGTTTATAGTTCCATAATTCTTTACTTCGGAACTAGATTAGGATGAGCGGTCAGCTTGACGCTAAAGCCGATATACACCGGGTAAAGAGCCCCCGGTACCCACTAATAGGGGAATAGGTAGGTCCCAGGACCGTTCTGGAGAATGGGATGAAGAGAAGAATCTGTGCCCCTGGCGAGAATCAAACTCTGGCCGCCCAGCCTACATCCCATCGATACACAGACTGAGCTACCCCGGCTTCATTTTGTCGGTGATATCATTCGAACAACCTGCAATAAAAACAAACATGGTACTTACCCTAGCAAGCGCCACAGCGGGAAAGTGCTCCCAGGCGAGCCGTGTCTCTTCACCCGGACGTCCTTCCCTCTGGCCTCGGAGAATTCGAGAAGCGGTGATAGTAGCCAGTCCCATTCCATCACCCACGAATAGAATCACATTGCGGGCCACAGGGCGCGCGGACCCCGTGCTGCCATCACTAGACAGCCGGCGTCGTAAAGCGGCTCTGGCTTCCTCGTACCAGAAGTCCCGTTCTGCAGACATAAAGAATGTGATTCCAGCTTAATGACGCAGTTCAATATCCTTGAAAAGGACTCTGAAAGATACAACAGTTGTATGTATTATAAAATGAAAGAATAATTAAAACTTTGAGATGAAGAATGAAGAAACATTGCTGAAAGTGATAATGCACGTGTCTGTAACATCTGGTCTCCATTTCCTCGCGATCTTTCTGTTTATCTTATTTGCGGAAGATAGAAATTAGGTCTTCAGATGGCAGGAACGTGTACGATAAAGAAGTCTTGAAATTTTTAGCCTAGTTTCCAACGTCATGTGAAAGAATAGGCTTATGAGATCAACACTCTTATCTGCTTAAGCGCTGTAGACACGTATCTGAAATTTTATATAAAAATAAACCATAAAAATATGAAGAAAGTCTTCTTCTGGGTTTAGGCGCCGTGTATTCTTCGTTTTGGCCGACGTTTCGGAGGAACGTATAGCCTCCATCTTCAGAGCAGTTGAATGGCTTGGAATGCAGAAAGTAGTCTACAGCTACTGCTCTCTGCATTCCAAGTCATTCAACTGCTCTGAAGATGGAGGCGATACGTTCCTCCGAAACGTCTGCCAAAACGAAGAATACATGGCGCCTAAACCCAGGAGACGACTTTCTTCATAGTCATCGCCGTAAAAACCTCAAAACTTACATAAAAAATATGTCTAAGAATATTACACAAAATATTGATTACACTACAACAATTACAAACATGAGAAAAGCGCAAAATTTTGACGTTATATCCACAAGTTTGAATCAGAAAAGATCTCAGCAATAATAAATTTTTGCAAAAATATAACGTTAATAATAATAATAACAACAATGTGCGACACTGGCAATAGGAAGACCCCTCGGCAAGGATTCCAACGAAAAACAGTCTGTCATGTTAGGATATGAGTTCCAGTGTAATTAGTAGCTGAGTTGTAAGCTT